GTCGATGTGTTGGATCTGTCCTCCCCTCTTTTTGCGATCTAGAATATTAAACACCAAATTACAGTTGATCAGGCAGGAATAGAAGTAATTACACATGCTGACTTAATGCCAGCTTGTTGGCACGTCACTGTTGTTTTGGGATGGACAGCCACCTTGTCCGAGCTGGATGTTGGGACATCCATTTGTAAGGCAATTCCTTGAACCCATGATAATTCCTCTCCCTCCAGCTGAAAATGCTGCCATTGCATTTAATGCACAAAAATAGTGATGAAACATTCCAAGATACTTTCAAAGATTTTCATGAAAATATTGATATGATTGAAGAATATATTTTTAAAAGCATCCACTCTTCCAATAGAAGTTATAATTAATAACTGCATCTTCTTTGCAGCATTGTGCATTTTATGGAGGAAAAAAATGACACATCATAATCATACCACTGCATGTTAAAGAGGGCATTAAAACATCTCAGAATGAAAAATAAAATTAAAAAAAATATATTAAAAAAAATCCGTGAGAGTAAATGTGTCACTTCTAAGAAAAGTTCCATTAAAAAATGCAGTTTTTATACATAAAACCATGGTCTTCATTCTTAAATTTTCATAGCACTACATAAAGCCAAGCATGGAATATTTCACATCAGACTGGAGAAAATCTCCCTGAAATTCTAATGAAGTTCATAAAATATACATGAAAAATATGCAGAAGAGCAAAGAAGCAACAGCCAAAAAATTCACTGAAATTTTAGACTTGTGTTTAAATGTCTCCTCTTTTAGTAAACAAAGATCCCTTTTGGCTGCTCGTAATTGTCTGAGGGTCTCCGAGTCTCCACTTGGCAGCCCAGGACTCTATTCCTTGCTCCATCAGGTAATATTTCCACACCGTGCAGTCCGTAGCACAAGGTTGGTGGCATCTCAGCAGCCCCTCTGGTGTCCTGAATAAACACCACTGTTATGTGAAAGCTGTTTGGGCAAAAAAAGGGTCACTTTCCTACAAGGCCGTGGTGCAGGTACTCAGGAGGCTGTGAATTACGAGGTGATGCTGTCATGCAGCTCTTGGTGTCCTCAGGTCCCTGAGTGCTGGGAGATGCTGGTGGTCACCCTGATGTGGCTGTCCTCAGCTGGTGCCTTCCCAGCTGTGCTGGGCCATCAGAGCACACCGTGTGGTCTTGGTGGTTGTGTTGGAGTGAAAATGGAGATGAAGAAAAGCAAGGAGTGTTTTCAGCACCTCTTGGATCCCTGTTGTTCTTACCAGGAGTGCCCATGGGGGGGTGAAGGAGCAGTCTGATGGCGTTATGAGCAGGGAGCACGAGGAGAAGGTTATTGGGAGCAGCTCAGTGCCAGCTAACCTCCTCTCACTACAGGCTTGCCTGCACCAGCCTCAACACGCAGTTTTCAGTGTTATACTGTTTTTCTTCAGTGCTTTCAGCTTCCAAAAGTGCTCTCTAAATCAATTTTGTGCCATCACTGTGCTCGCACTGCGCTGGGGCATCCCGCAAAAGTGGAACCCTGATCGGGAGGGTCCTGTACCCAGCAGAGCACAGCCTCCTCCTTCACCCATCAACAAGAGAAATGACAGAGGAAATAATAATGGAAGAAAACATTTCCAGTAAAGTTCAACACAGACCTGCTGCTGCTCTTTCCTGTGCTGGTGCAGTGCTATTCCTTTGGCTTCATTCACACCCCAGTCAGACACGAAGGGAAAGCTTCCTGCACCCAGCACCCTCCTATGCACAGCCCCAGCCCCACCCTGTGCAGAAAGGTCAAAGATTTTATTTTGGTTTTGATTTTCAGATGTTCTTCTGTCTACCTCAGTCTATAAAAATGCCAGAGCCTGTGTTAGCTTGGTGCACGCAGTTTTACAGCAATTTGGACCCTGGAAGAGAGCTGCTGAGTCCCTTGGCTTTGGTGCTCATGCTTCTGCACTTTTGCAGGTGCCAGCTTAGCAGACATAATAGGGCACAGAAGGAATAATAAGACTTGGCGACCTTGAAATTTATGGTAAATCTGAGCCTAAAGTATCTGAAGAAATGCTTGTCTGCAGCTTAAATGTTTTTAGAGCAGTGATACTCCTACTGCTTGCTCTCTGCAAACATAAAGATTCACCCTTTCCTCTTAAAAAGCCACCTGGGATTCCTGGGCATGAAGTTGCCCTGATTATGAAGATTGAGGATTTTGTTAATTTCCATTTACAGCAATTTTCCCAGATAAATGTTGGATTTATAGTCTCCTGGCAGACACTGTGTAAAGGGAATAATAACCGTGTACAAACATTTTTTTTTTGTACTTTACAGCATAATGTAAATAAAATGTAAATGTGGTGGGACGCCTTCAGCACAAGGCTGTTGTGTCCCCCAGCCACAAGGCTCGGTGCATGCCTGGCTGGGCTCCTCGGTTTCCCTCAACGCCTCTTCTTTGCAGGTGCCAGTTGTCCATCGCTTTCTCTAAATTCCCAGTCCTTGTTATGAACTTGCTGCTGGTGGCTCCCGTTGTCATCCAGAAAATCCAGGGGAGAAACAAAAAATGCCAGAAGTCAAGAAATTGGGGAAAGTCCTTCGAGGCAGAGGTATGGCTGGAGAATATTGGCCATTGGCATCGTGCTGGCAGTGACCTGACCTGCAGGGGAAGTGCTGCTATAGGCACACACCTTTAATATTAGCAGGGTTTGTGTTGCATACACATTGGGCAGCCGCTTTAATTATTTGTCAGCCCCAGAAGTGTGTCAAAACGTGTGTGTGTGTATATGTGTTTATAATCCACAATGGCTTGTTTATTTGCTCTAGCTCAGCAATTCCATATCTATAAAAAATAAAGCTTTTCAGCCTTTTTGATGAATTAGCAACAGCCCTGGGAATTTTGGCAATCAACACTTGCTGAGATTCCCAGTGTTGCAGCTAATTTGAATATAAGTTAATGAGTTTATTACAGGAAATAACAAACTTATCCTTTTTTCTTTTTCTCCCCCCAAATCCTTTCATTCTTTGCTAACAGATTGTTTCATTTGTTTTGCAAATTATTTCATGAAGTTTCTCAGAATGTTCATAATCCGTTCATTAAGAATTCCTTTTGTGCTTAGGATAATATCTGATAAACTCCAAAGGAGAAGGGCGATAATTTCCTTCAGAGAAATAACTGTATCAGCATGGATTTCCATGGAAGCATGGCTGCAACACTGCTTTCTGCCAAAGTTAAACAACTCTGTAAATTGCTTAGAAGTGAAAAGTTATTGCTGGGAACTATGAGAAGGAAGGGGCTTTAGCTGGCATTTGGAGTTGTGTCGGATGTGTTCCCCCACAGCACGGTGATTTTCAGTAAGCGCACAGGGGGAGATTTCTCATTCACTACCGAGTAAGTTGTAGAGCTCTCTTTGCTGTTGTTTCTTGAGCTGGTATTCCCAATTAAAATAAATAAATAATCCTGTGTGCATTTAAAGTATAGAAAACCCCTTGAAAATGTTGGCAGCTCCTAAGACATCAAGAAATATTCTCCCTGTGTTGCTCTGAGGTACCTCAGATGCACTTGTCTTCCATGATATGTTGAAAAGAAAAGAAATGGGGCTGGGAGGACACGGGTTTGCCCAGCTGTGGCATCCCCCTCAGCTGAAGCAGCACTGGAGTGATTGGATAAATGGAGATTCACCTAAACCGTCTCCCCTGGTCTTACCTTTGCTGTTTTCTTTTTCCCTTTTTGAATGAAAAGGAGTGAAGCTGTTGGCAGGACCGAGGCACACCCTCGGACTTGTGTATTGAACAGTCATTGTTCTTTGTTGGCACAGCTGGTAGAAACACTGTGAGGAAATTTCCTTTCTCCTTTGCTCCTGGCTGGCTTTGCTCCAAGCTAGGAGGATTTCTGAATTCATACCTGTGTTTTCCAGCTCTTGGTGGGAATTTGAGGCCAAGCTCGATTCCTGTGCTGAATTCCAGGCAGGGGGGTTGAGGCTTTTTTCTGTTCCACCTCCCTGAACTGTCTCCGCAGAAAGTTCAGGCTTTGGCAAAATACAAACATGGACACTTTAAATTCTCACTTGGTGTACATGACACAGCAAAGAGAAAACACAATAAGTTTAGGAAAGGAGGAGAAAAAAACTAGCAAACATCACAGGAGGATTAAGATTTGGTAGTGGGGCGGGTGAGAGGTGAGTTGTCCTCATTGGCAGCAGTTTGCAGAATAGATTCACGTGGATACATTGGCCTTTTCCCTCTCTTTGTGGTGAAACACGGTGAAATCAATTTCCACTGCTCTAAAACAAACAAGCTGACAAGTCTGGTAACTGGTTGCTGACACAGGAGGGATTTAGATGCTGCTGGCATATCACACGTGTCCCTGCACAGCCCCTGCACCCACCTGGGACCGGAGCACTGTCACTTGAAACCAAAACTGACGGCAAGAGGGGAAAGGTGGAGCTGTGAGCTGAGGGATGAGCAATGTGGGAGAAGATATCCACCCCTACGGTGCTGCCAGCCCTTGTTTAGCTGGTATGGGATTAAACACCATGCCATCTGAGCCTTGTTTGTTGTATGGGAGAGGGAGTACGGGGCATGCTGCTGTTAGCATGCTGCTCAGGAAGCTGATAGGCAGCAGTGCAGGTACAGAACTAAAAGGAGACAGAGTTTAGAAAAATAAAAGTATAAACAGGGAATTGGTTGGTGAAAACAGAGCAGCTGACATAGAGAGCCATAAACTGGGACACTGAGCCCACAGGGTCCTGTGGGCTTGGAGGGGGTCCCTGTGCAACCAGCACAGGTTCGGAGCCACAGCCTGCCCCCTGCCCGGCTGTCACAGGGGAAAACCAGGCTGATCCGATGGAGTTCATTCCTGACAAACTCACGGGGGCTGATTCCCCTTTCCTGGTTGGGGTGTTGGTGATTGCAAAGGTTGCTGGCTCAGGCCTCGAGGCACAGCAGGACACAATTGAGTGCTAAGGGTAGGCAGGACTGTGCAATTTGATTCCTATACAAAACACCTGAATCCCAGAAGGTTACTGACCAAGAGACACTGGTATTGCCCTCCTATGAATAGCAACCCCAAGCACAAACTCCCTGAGTTCTCCAGGGACCACATCAGGCTGAACCCCAACCATTTCCCCCAGCTTTTCAGGGCTGGCTCCTCGAGGAACGAGCTTGACCACAGACAAACGCTGATGAGACAGAAGGGTGAGTAATTCACCTTAATGGGGATTTGGAAGTGCATGTTTGGGGTTAGAGCTCCCCCAGGACCCTGCAGTAAGCCTGGGGTGAACCTTGCCATTCTCAAATCTGGAACTAAGTCGTCATTTGTATTGTAGCAAATTCCTTCGGTTCATTGTGTTAATCGACTAATACTCAGATACTGATTAAATGCTGTTAAGAATCACATAATCTGATCTTATTATTTCCTATAAAGGCATATAATAAATCTTTAATTACTGCTACATTAGATTTGTGTAAATCTAATTCCATGACACTGTGACTTTCCTCGCTTCATAGATATTCCTCCTGCCTGTTCATGTGAAATTTGGATCTTAGTGACAGACACAAGGTGGAGGAGGTAAAATCCCCGTGAAGAAGATTTAGAGTGAAAGGGATATAACTATGTTTAATGGGGTGGAGAAAAGGAAGGTTTAGGCAAAAGCTGAACTTTTGCAAAATAGAGCCTTGGGGGATGTTGTTGGAGACCTGCATTTAAAGCTGGGCTGAAAGTAACAGAGAAAAGTGCTGCTAGGAAATACCTGCACTCAGTGCTGAGGCTGGAGGCTGTCCTGGGGCATTTCCCACTGGGACTTTGTAACTCTCATGGGATAATGTTCTGCTGTCAAACCGGCTCCATGCAAGCACCAGCATGCCCGGTGAAGTGTCTGATGGACATCCAGCTGCATGTCACGCCAACATCTCATTAACACTCAGCCTAAGGAAGCAAGCTGCGTGTGGCGTGCCTGCTGCGGTTGCAGCAGGGCTGTGAGCAGCCAGCAGAGCAGGGGTGATGCTGCCCACAGTGCTGCTGGAGCCACACAGGCAGTGCTCAAACATTTTGTCCTGCCTGCCTGTGCCTTGTCAGCCCATGAGGGTTCACAACAGCACCCATTTCTCTTTCCTGTCCACCCCCCTGACCAGCAAGTAACCTTTGTATTTCCACTAGATTAAAATAGGTTGGCTTGTGCCGTTATGTCAGTGAACACCAAACAATCCAGAACGTACAGTAAGGCAGTGGTAAAATGCTAAGGGTGCAGGTGAAAAATGTTTATTACCTTTGAGTTTCTCTTCTGTGTTTTATTTATTGCTGAATTAAAAGCTGATAGCCATATGGGATAGTGTTTATTATTTTTCTGCAGTCAGCATTCTAACGCTCTACCCGTATGCAATTAAACTGAATGCCACGCTTTGCATAGAGGTTTTTATTTCTTTTAAGAACAGAAAGGAATAACTCTGCTGTTCTGCATTGTAGAATAATGTGTTTAACACCCAAACTCCAATCAATGTGATATAGATTTTGTGTTCTTCTCTTGCCATATATTTTGTACCCACCCTGCACATGCTTAGTGTTGGCTCTGTCTCTGCTCCTAACGTCAGATAGAGTCATTTAAAATTCACAAAGCCACATGGGATTCGCACTTGTCTGTGAATAGCTGGTTGCTATCAAAAGTATGTTCATGGTGAAACACTTATTTTTTTATTTAGAAGTGTTTTCCTAAAGGTGCCAGAAACCCTTACTGCCTGTTATTGTGTGATAGCGCACAATCCTATAAGCACTGCTGCCTTAAAGACACTGCAGCCTGTCTGTCTTTGTGCTTGTGCCTTGATTTTATTCAAATGTCTTTATTACAAATACTTTCAAATGTCAGTGGCTGCCCTTAGTCATCCATCTCAGCTGTCAAGTCAAGAGTTTCGAGACTCCAGCTGCAGGACACTTGGGCTGTGGAAATAAAGTCTCTCAATAAAAGGGAGTTTGGGAGAGCAAGAAAGCTGGTAAGCACCGGGTCTGAGCCACGTGGGTGTGCAGTTACACTCACTGCTGGTGCCTGCCCCAGTTTAGATCTGTTCCCAGACCGGGGAAAGAGCAAAACTGGGATGAACAGAAATAAATGGCCCAGTGTCACTGACAACAATAGTTGGTCAATTACCATAAAGCCTATTTCCTGTTGGAAAATAACATAATTAGTGGTATTTGGAACTTAAAAACTCTTCCTTGGTAGTTATTAAATTCCGTGACATTTCAGCTTGATTAACTTTTCAACAGATAGAGCTTGAGGCTGTTACAGGGAGACTTCTGAGGTGGATGGGATATCTGATGACCTACCGCAATGACAGTTTCAATTATTCAAAACAAAGAAAATGTATTATGAAACCTCATTAGTGAAAGGAAAATGATTAACTTATTGTCTGATCCTCTTTTAGCACTGGCTGAGCTGAAGGGCTGCGGTGTGGGAGGAAGCATCCTCCTGCCCCAGCAGGTGGAGGGAGAGCAGTGAGAGGTTTCCAGAGCTCAGCTCTACCTTTGCCTTGCTGATGACATCCTGCAGGAGCTACTTATGCCTTTTGTATAGCATATGTATTTACAGGGGGCTATTCTCTTCTTGAGAGCCCCCGTTTACAAAATCTGGCTTTGTCTAACCTTAAAGTGAAACAAACCCAAAGAAATAAAGCTCTGAACAAGCTGAAACTGACTGAGCTATTGAATGATGATCAGAGAGATGTTTAAATTCATTTCAAGATGTTCCATGCTTCAAACTACTGAAAGTGAATATACTTAAGGATTAATAGAATTTGCTTTTGTCTTTCTTAAAGAAGGGAAAAAAAAAAGGCTACTTAAATCAGTATTGTGCTTGTTATGCATATGAAGACAAAAAGGTTATGAAAATATGGCACAGTCTCTTCAATACTTAGATTTAATTAACACATGCCTTTGAGGAAAAAAGCAAAAGGGATGCTCACAATAATTGTAAATGATAAACTTGTTTCATACCTTCAAAATATGGAACACAACAGTGGTAATAAATGACTACTTAATAGCACGAAATGTCAGGAGAGGAGAATTTGAAATCAACTTGGAGGATAAAGGGAAAACCTGAAGAAAGTGGGTATGTCATAAGTCATCCTTATGAAAGGCTTTTCTTTTAAAATAATGAGTATTTGAAGAAATCTGTAGAAAAGATGGATGAGGGGATTGCTGTTTTTCTCAGTAAGTTTTTTTTTTTTTTTTTTTAAATAAAAAAATTCTATTCCAAACCTATTTAGCCAAAGTAGTGTGTGAGTTCTGTAGGTGACTCAAGATGGTAGAAGTAGGGATGGAGTGAGCCTAATGGGACAGTACTGAATGATGCTTTAGATATTTGGGGAGAAAAAGAGCGACTTAGGATCTGTCATGTGAAAACCTTCCCAATTCATTAACCTGGTGTATAGTTACATCAGCAATTAGACACTGTGCCATTAGAGCATCAGGAAATCCCTTGAGGTGCCCCAGCGCGTGGTGTCCCTTCCTGTAAAGAAGTGTTGTCATGCTGTGGGTACCCCAGGGAGCAAAGCATGAATCAGGAGATCTTCAGAATCTTTTTTCTTGTAGTTGGTTTTATTAAAGAATTAAGAAGAAATTGAGCAGACAGACAGGAATTGTTCTCAGCAGCCCTACCACCAGTATCTGCAGAGAACTTCAAAAAATAAATTTCCATGCTTTAAAACACATCCCAGGTATGCCTGTGTCCTTTCTAGCCTTGAGAGCCCTTTCCCCAGTTTGATTCATGATAAGTTTTTAATTGGAAAGAAGTGTGGCAAGGCAGTTTTGTAGCTCTTCTGACTCCTTTCTCAGCTGGGAGACTTGCCAGTTTTGTGGGGTGCTCCCAAAGTCTCCTTAACCACTTAGTAATTGTTTTCTGCTGGGAATGGGAATTCAGCTGTAACCATTTATTTTAATTGGAGCTGAAGAAAATAACTGTTGTCCATTTAAAACATGAAATGTTCAGTGGGCTCCCACTGGAGCCCACTTTTGGGCTCCAATCAGGACTGAGTTGTCCCCCCAGAAATGCAGCTTTGGAGAGCCTGAGGTTTTGCCATCAGAAGCATTGGGTCATGCTGGAGGCAGAGCTGAGCTACGTGCAAGTGTCCGTGTTGAATTGAAGCTTTTTGTGGCTTTGTGGTCCTCATGCTGCATCTTCAAATGCCACCAAGAGCTCCTGCACCTTCACTGGCCCTGCAAGCAGCAAGCACACGCTGGGTGTTATTGTGTGCTTTCTCTTTTAATTTAAAATAAATAAATAAATCTCTTCTGGCAGTTTTTTTTTTTTTTTAAACATTTGAAGTGATCGTTTCTCACCATCAACACCTTATTGCCAGCCTGAACTGTTAAGAGAGAATCTAGCAATTGTGTGCTAATTACTCTTATTGCTGCAGTATCTCAGATAAATGCTGAAGAGTTGGAAGATAATTAGTATTTAACCAATTAAGATAGTTACAAGTTCAGGAACACAGCTCTTGGATGTTTTTTCCCTGGTAAATTCAGAGGGAATGCAGTAATTTAACGGCGTTTTCAGAACTAAGTGGAAGAGATGGTCAAAGAGAATTTTTTATTTTAACAGCAGCCGCGGGATTTCACCTTTCCCTCCCAGCTGCCTCCCAAGCCACCTCCAGCTTCTCATTAGACATTGTTAGATTACAGTTGTTGGATTACGGTCTGACCTCAGGTAAACCCACAGTTTTTGTTTCCACGTCTGGGTAATGTGGAAAAGTAGAAATATTGGTCTGTGAATTATGGTAAAGATCAATGTGGTTTTCCTTCCTCTTTTATTGCAGATTGCAGCCACGTCCCAGTGGAGCATTCCCAGAACTGCCGTGGTGCCTGGCGTTGGGTCCTTCACAATAACATTTAAGCAGTGCTTGCCTTTCTGGTTAGCAAATCATTCCCGAGTGTCCGAGGGGGAAAAATCCACCTTAGTGCCTGAGCAATCTTGCTTATGTGCCTGCAGGCAGAGCTCCTGGGCTACGAGAGGTCTAAAATAGGCTAACATTTGTGCTGATTACCAATTAATGTGCTTATTGCTACTATTTTTTTTAATGCAAATGACATCAACTTCAAGTGAATGTTAACCTCCTTACCTAGCAGTCATTTCTTGCCATTGGCACAGCTGCTAACCATGGGGGTTACCTGGATGGTCTCTCTCTGAGATGTGAGGGAGTGATGAAATGACAATTGGAGCAACCCTTGGAGGACCCTGGTGGGCCTGCCTCAGTGCAGCCCGCGCCCTGCCTTACCTTGGTTTGGTGCCGGAGAAGAGGAATTAACCCTGCTTATAAGTGAGCCTGGGGAAAATTTAACAACCATATTTATGAAAATATAAACATTTATTTAAAAACGTATCCTGGAATGAATGGCCCAAGAGAAGTTGTAGGTGAGTTCATGGCCAAATCCATCAAACTGCTCTCGCCGTGCTTCCACGTCCATAGCAGTCCTGGAGGAAGGACTGCACGCCGACCCTAGGGTGGGGGCTTTGCTTTACCTCTTGGTTAATTGCCTTGGTTCTGCAGAAACTGCATCAGTTTCTCTCTCACGAGAGCAAACTGCTCTTTCATCTGCTCTTCCACTTGCCATAAACTCCTTTTGTACAAGCGAGCTGAGAGAGACTGCTCTAATTAAGATATGCCAGAGCAAAGTTAATTTTCAGAGTTTCCTCCAGATGCCAACGGGAACACAGTGCAATCACTCTATAGCTAAGGTAATTGGCTTCTGCTTCATGCGATGCTTGCTTACAAACAGCCAGTCAAATGCTCCAACGCCAGCAATGAGCAAACTGGTCACAGATATTACCAATAATTCTTGAATTAAATAATGCTGAGTCTGTTAATGCCTACAGTCCTGTTGCTGTGGCTAAGAGGAAAGGAGATGCTGATTTTACTGTTTTTTCTCAGTGGGATGAACAGGCTGTAAATGACTTGTGAATTTGAAAAAAACAAGGTGTTCAGCATGTTCTTCTACTCCTTCAAGTCAGCTGTTTGTCTACATTTATTTGTTCTCGTTTTATGTGAATATTTTATTCCTTCGATTTATTTTTTCACTGGTTGGGGTAGTTTTGCCAGGCCACGGCCAGGCAGCACAGGGTCCCTTGTGTCAAACAGCCTTATGGGGAAAATTGCAAAAACTCATTTTACACTTTGGAGAACCCTGGGGGTTTGAGGTCATCTAATAGAAATGTTTAAGAATTGTTTTTCTTTATGCAGCTTTTAAATATTGAAATGTAATTTTTGAAATCACAAGCTTTCTTTAACTTGTATTGATTTTGAAGCATTGCATGGACAACGTTCACAAGGCAGAGCAGCTGTCGGATGCACTCACCGCCTCCCAGGGAGATTGCAGTGGATAAAACAATTCTGAGGGGAGAAGCTGGAAAATACATAGAATATACATGGATTTTCCCTGGTCCTGTCAGGGCACTGATTGTTTTTCTCATTATGTTATTTCCCTGAATTTCATAGATGCTGGCAAAGCTGATCCTCTAGCCAGAGTGGACAAGTGCACAATTCAGGAGCTTTGCTCATGCTAAAAGGGATAAATGTGAAAGCTCTTCCTGAGAGCATCGTGGTTGTGGGGGAATGCTGGGTGGGTGTAATGCACCAGGAGGTGTAACACACCGAGCCTGTCCCTCCAAGGGGTTAGTAGGGAGCCAGGACAAACCCTGGGTGGGCCCCACTCTGTTGGCAGGAGAAGTGTCCCCACATGGGTGTGCATCAGCTGCATTTCGGGCTCCCATGCCCACCTAGAGGAGCAGCTGCTGTGTGCGAGGGGTCTGGCTCTGGCTGCTCAGGCAGATGACGGGGAGGAGAAGCCCTGCTCCACGCACGATGAACAAGCAGCTCTGCCTCATAAGCAGGAGACAGACACAGCTATAAATTTTGTAGGCGAGCAAAAGAACTCTGACAAGCCCTTTGTAGGTAAAAGTTGCCAGAGAGGGATTTTTTCAAAAAAAAGAGTATTCCAGCTTTTGTTCATATATGCTTTCTGAGTGACCTGTATTAATTTTTCCTATAATTTTAAATAATTAATACTTGGTGTGAAAGCTAGAATTACAGACTGCAAGCTTCAAGCATCAATGTAATCTGAAATCAACCCTCTGATATTTATCCAGCATTTATTTCTGCCTTTAGCATTCAAGAGATGCAGTAGATAATTCAGAAGAATATATGATCAAATGCAGCTTTTGAGCAGGGAGGACAGGCAGTGATAACAACTCTGCTGCTGAAATAACCTTTCGCGATTTCTTTCCCAGGCTGTTGTCTGCCTTTTCCTTTAACTCTGCTTTTAATTTGACTCTGAGCTATAAAATACCAGCCTCGTCCGCTTTACATTTGTGCAGAAATCCTCCTCTTCAAAGCGTTACAGAAACCTTAATTAATCCATTCTTGCTATGTGCCACAGCACAGAAGCATCCTGGCCCTGCTTTAGAGACAAGAACTGAAAGAGCAGAAACCCAGGCCTTGGTCCTACAAACCCTGAGCTGCTGCAGTGATTTACGCCCCATAAACATGCCGGTTGCTGTGACGTTTGTTTTCCAGCACCCAGCTCACCTTGTTTAGTAGGTGTGTAACTGATGTGTTTGTGGCATTGAATGTGGCATCACAGGAGGAGCAAAACCCGTTGTGTTTGGGACCCAGCAGCAACCTCAGGATTGTTCAGAGCCTGGGCAAAGCTGGGCTCACAGTCTGCATCTCACCAAGAGTGATTTCTGTGGGTTTAATCTGCTGAGAGCTCAGTACCCACATGTGCATTTTGCAGGGTAAGGCGAGGCAGCATAGCCCAGCCCTTGGCACGTGGTGCACAGACCATCACCTTTGTGGTATGGTGGCTGATGGAATGGGTTAGAACCTGTGATTTATTTATTTTTTTTTAAGGTTGAAAGGTGCAGCAGCTGCACCCAGGTGCCATTTGCAAAAAAAGCCTCAACCTTCATGAAGGGGATGCTTCTGTGTTGCTCTCTGTCAGGAAGGTGCTCGCGCTTTCCGACCGCTGCCACAGCGAGGATGTCACAAACATCGCATTTCTGACACACGCTTCTGCAACGTGCCAATACTAGACAGAGGTGCTCTGTCAAAACCAAATCCTCATCAGGACCGTAGTAATCTTCCCACAGCCTCTCTGTGTTTGCAGGGATGTCACTGGGATGTGCTGGCAGGCGGCTGTCACGCTGAGGAGCTCCGTCCCCCGCAAGCCCCCGGGATGCCTGGCACTGCTCCTCGTGTTCCCATGTGTCAGAGCATTGGGATTTGATGTGGCACCCTAATAGCCCAGCAGGATTTGTTAAAGTGCCAGGTAAGAAAAGGAGAGCAGTGATACCAGGAGCATGAGAGGTATGTTAAGAGCGTAAGGAAAATGTGTGTTATTTACCTGTTAATCTTTAAGCGAAGGAAGAGCAGAATGGAAAGTGCTTTTCACCTAACAGGACAAGACATATCCTCCTCTCTGGAACATAACTTTCTTTCCCTCGTTCCTTTCCTGGACATTTCTAGTCTGTTTTATGACAGTGATTCAGGAAAGCACATACTCATGGGCTGCCCTAACCATGGCTTTGAAATTAAACCAAGTGGCGAAGCAGAGTCAATGTGTTCCAGAACAATTTTAGACACCACATATAACCCTTTCCAAGTATTTTCTTGAGAGTTTGTTCCTGTGGCTACCTGAGGGACGCTGTTTTTGTACAAGGAAATAAAATCACAATGCTAAAAATGACTGCACATCAGAGCTGCTGGAATCACCGCGGGTGAAGTTCATGCCCGCAGTTACTCACCTGTTATTTCCAAGGCCTTGCAAGTTGGGTACAAAATTCATCTCTACTAGGAAGCTTTAAAATCTCAGTCCAAACAAATTTCTTAGCTATATAAATTAGAAGTAAAAGGAAATTATATTGTGAAGGTGCCAGAACTGTTGGAAAGTGACTATTTCAGAGAGTGATTTCACCAACTTAATTTGACCATGCACGAGCACTGTGGGGATGTGGTACTCTACGTTGAGCTGTTAGCGCACAGAACAGGAACGTAAACTGCTTATGTCTGCCATTGACAGATGGTTCATTTCATAGAATATCATCAGGAAGTGTATTAAAAAAAAAAAGAGGAGAGAAAGAGAAACCCAGAAGGTTTCTCAAGGGGCTATAAGCTGGAGTTTCAGAGGCCATGAATCTATGTAGGATGATTAAAACTGCAACCAGGAATTCATGCCTCTCTCTGATCTCAGAGCTTGAAGTGAGCTGTGCCTGTTTTACTTGTGACTCTTTCCCTCTCTGTATGTTGCCAACGTTATTATTTACACTGCTTTGATGCATTTAAATTCTTACTCATATGCAAGAGTGAACATTCCATCTCCAACCTCCAGTGGAGAGACTGAGAAGAGTTGGGGTGGTGGTGCAGCACTGTGCTGTGAACAAGAGGCCCATGCTGCCCACCAAAGAAAGCACGGCACTGTACGGAGCCCAAAACACCAGGGCTGCGAGAACACCGCTGCTGCAGGAGCACTGGCACGTGTTTTCAAGGAGTTACAAGGTTTGGTTTCTTGTACGTTGGAACTCTGGAGTTCCTAAGTCTGGACAATGCTTGTATATGCTCAATTTTTGATGAACATCGTGGTCCCAGCCCCGTGTCTGAAAAGTTTTTTTTGAGTGTTGAATTGGTAAACTTGTTAATGAATGGGCTTGGTACAAATCTAATAATTTAAGACATCTTATCTTAGCAAGTATACCATCCTTGAATATTGAACACTTAGTATGTTAATAGCATTGGGGAGACCTATCAGAAACAATTAGGAGGAGAAAGCTGAAAGCTTGAATGGGAGGAACTGGAGAGGGTTTCTGGGTGGGACAAAAGCCCTTGAGAGTTCGAGCTGGCTCTGCAGAGTCTCGTGTGGGAGCCAACAGAAACCACAACTCTTCCTGTGTGGAGGGATGTCTTAATCCCATGATTCTTATTTTTTCTCCCATACAGAAGTTGGTGTGATTTACTAGCAGAGCCAACAAAATTGCTACGCATGAGCTCTGCAGAGACTGAAAGGGAGAGAGGAGCCTTGGAAAGGTCATCCACCAAAGTGGTCTGCGACATCAAAAAATTGAAAATTAGTGTGTAGCTGCAGCTAATGGACCTTAATACATCTTGAATTGTCCTACTGGGAGCAGGAAACACTTCCAGAGGATGGATGAGGTATTAATATTTGCACTAGCCTTTAATTCTACCGTTGCAATCTCAAGAAAATGTGTGTGTGGTTAAAAGTTTTCCCCTCACTGGCAGAGCTGGCAGAGGAAAGCCAGCGCTGAAGTTTGCAATAGATAAAGTACTCAGACAATGTTTTATTAACTTTTATTATTATTATTATTATTATTATTATTTTAACATTGGCTATATGGAAACCTTTTCCTTTGAAGTATCACACAGATGGAGATAAATTCTACAAACGTTTTGCCAAAACTCAGAGCCAACAGATGGAAATCTGGACAGAAGGGTTTAAACACACTCACTTTATAACTGGGCTAGAGAAAATAAACTTAAGATGAAGTCTGTGCTAGGACCGTGCCCTTTAACATATCTGCAGCCCTTCCACACCTCAGGGCTGATCATGCACGGCTGCATGGGGAATGAACTATCTGATGAATGACTGCAGCCAGCGTGCTAGACAAAGCTGTTTTTGATGCACGTATGGGTGAATTCAGAAGTGTGTCCTTAGCTTACAGAAGAGAGTCTTGAAAACAAAAAGATATTCCAAAGTTTTTCATCACTACCCTGGCACAACCTTCTTCAGTTGCCATATATGCTTATACTTTTGCCAGCAGGAGTCCAGGACCTCACCCAACATAATTTATTTATTTATTTCTACTTCTAAAAGGTCTTTAGGATTCCTTGCTACAGAACTTCAATTCCAAAGCCAAGAAATGAATGTTAACTTTGCAAATGTGAGCTATGGAGAACAACAACCAGCCAGGAGCTTGCACCAAGCCGACCAATGATGCCAGGAACAACCACGAGCAGCTCCTGAGCTTGCTGAAATCCTGGGGGCAGAGCAGGGAAGTTTCTGCTGCTGCTGCAATCAGAGGTTATTAATGCTGGGTGCCAGAGGTAAAAGTGGTCATGCTGGTAGGCTCAAGATAGAAAAACACAGAAGAGAACTCTTCTTTACTCTTTTTATAGTCTTTTTTTCTACTGCAATGGAAAAAAACTCAACAGCACAAATTGATATTCTGATTAAACTGGAGGACACCTGCCTCTGGTAATGATGGAATTAAGCAAATTATCCTTTTATTGCACCATTCTCAAGTCTTTATATAATTCTCCTCACGTCTTTCTTGTCATTGCAGCATCTAAAAACCTTTCCTTCAAACAGCGTCACTGATTTCTCTTGGAGGTTTATTCCTTTCCTTCTTTATTGAGGGAAATGAATAAGTAGTGAGTGGTTTGGTTTTATTTGCTCTTCAGTTTTTAAATAAGGCCTAATAATTGAGTATTTTTAAGGGAAAGATAGTTACAAGGCTGTATAAATTGTACACAGAGTGAAGAAGTCTGGTCATTGTGATGGAGGTTGGGTGAAGTTCTTTACATTTATCGTCTCCAGATAAGGAGAACTTGGAAGGATTGCTATTGCTGAGCACCAGGCATAGTTTTTTTCTGGTTAACAACCTCTTACAGACCATAGATTGCTTCTGTGTGCCTGAAAACTGTGCCTGAAATCTGGTATAGGCTGTCTTTATTCCTGTGTCGTCGTACAGGTCTTCCCAGGTCCGTCTGAAATAGCTGTCAAGTCATTAGATGATGCCAGTCTCTTCACCAGCCTGGTTTGCTTGTCCACGTTTGTGTTCTGGCTGAGCTGCTTGCAGAGCTCCTTGATGAATAGCAGGCTTTCAGCACATAGAAATAGCCAGCCATTATGCTCCCTTTAAATGGCTTTCAGAGAAATATAAAGGGAGGAGATAAATGATTTAACAATAAAATATTTGCTCATTTTTAAAGTTACCCGAGGTTCCAGGGAACTTCAGTGTTGTGGAAAGCATGCCCAAGGAAAGCTCGCTTCACAGAAACCATTGCTTCTTGGAAGCTAAGCAATGTTAGCAACGCAGCAGCATGTTTTCCTGTCTAAATAATACAATATTGTGATTTTGCTATATATAAAAGTCTTTTTGGGTATGCTTTGGGTATCTTTTTGGGAGGGGCAATATGTTCCCGCTGAATTATTTTTTTTCCTACTGCTTTTTACATATCACACGTAAGAATTCCTGCTTCAGGTGATGTGCACACCTGGGACTGAGTTTGAAATGCATCGGAAGCAAATAATGGGAAACACAGGAAATAATCGCTTTCTTTTGATACCTCCTCTTCTTCATGCCGCCATCTCCCCGCAAAAAAAGCAGGAAAGGCTTGGTGAGAATAACATAGACTGTGCCGATGGAGCCTGGAGGAGCAGCAGAGAATGCAGAGAGGAGACTTCTGAGCGCTTTTGCTGTTTTCCGTAGGGATGCCCTCAGGTATGTGGCTGAGGCTCAGCAGTCCCCTGCTGCCAGCAGCTCCCTGTGATCCCGTTGCCAAGTTTTACTTCTCCTCTCTGCATTAATTTCTACATTCATTACCGCATTAATTAGCACATTGATTGCTGCACAGTGGTGTCGGTCCGTGTGATGAACCTGAGAGTTCCAGGTTTGGTGCTGAGTAACTCGTGCACGAGTGTGTGTGTGGGGATGCCTGGTCCATCAGGATGGTTGCACGTGGGTGTGTGTGTGCATGCATGTGTAGATGTGTGCATATATGTACATATCTTGTCTACACGATGGAATTTCTGTGAATTTTTAGCAGCTTGAAAGAAACCCAAGAAATAACGAATGACCCAGGTTACAAAGTCAGAATAATAAGGCTTAAAACATGTCGTCACTGGGTCTTCACTCAGCTTTCCTGTGATTTCGGTGCAGGTAAAGCCTGGCTGGTGCCCTGGCTTGCTGAGAAGGAGGGAACAGAGGCAGAGCCATCCCGAGCCATGGCTGGCAGCAGTGCTCACCCCATGGATGCACTGGGAGTGCCCCGTTCAGCAGGGCTCTGCTGCACGAGGCAGCTCCAGCAGCACGAGCAGCTGTGCTGAGCCTCCCTGGTGGTGCTTACGAGGGTGGCTGGTGCTTAACCAGGGGGTGAAATAGGGGCTGACACAGCAAGCACTGCCGCTCTACGAGGGCAGCAGCTGTGCTTTGAAAAATGCCCGGAGGTAAGTGAAAGGATTTCTCGTGGGCCTTGTGCCATTTGTATGATGCTAGTGAATAAAACACCAAAATGACGATAAAGATTTTCTTCCCTTAGGAGATGGTTTACATCAGTTGCTCTAATAGCCAAGCATTAATTTTATATATTACTTTTACTAAACTCATTTTCTCTTAAGTGATATTTTCAGCGCATCCCTTTAATACATAGTATGCTCTGATTATATCATTTTTTGTTTGTTGTTTTTTTTTTTTTTATGCTTTTTTTTTTTTCTTTTTCTATCACAGAAATGGCCTTTATTTTCTCTAAATGGCGGGATGATTTTCCTGCCTGTGAAGATTGAGGACCAGAAGTGCTGTGTACTGAAGTCTCGTACTTATCCGCGGGCCAGACATCATAGCAGTCTGTCGCATCGCTCTGCTGAGCCTGGACTCGGAGGTAATTCACTGAATATTATGGCCAAGTCCTGGGGTCTGCTGAGCAGAGGTTAAGTTTGCTACGTGGTGATAAACTGTGTGCTGCAGCTGCCTAGCAGACTAACTGCTCTGTCTGCTGGTGCTGGGGGAAGCCAAGCTTGGTCTGCTTGGTACTCATCAACATACTTAAAGTGTATTCTCCAAACCATTTTTTGTCACAAAACCCTTCTAAAGCACTCTGTTAAGCTGACTTTGCTCCCTGCTGTAAGAACCGTGCACCCCAGCCAGCGAGGTGCCTCTGAGCCCCTGCGGTCCTCTCCCAGACCTCCTGCCTGGGGATCGAGCAGTGGGACAAAAGGAGCACCCAAAAATGCAACAGGGAGGGTACAACTGTACATCCTGAGTCTCTGGTAGCATCATTAGCCAGGGAGAGTCTCCTGCTGGGATAAATGGCTCTGTCATATGAGTTATTTCATGTAACGCATACGTACATATATATTTGACATCAACTGCAACGGCAGAGGTGTGGGCAGAGCAGTGCTGTGCTGTTGCAGGAGGAGACGGGCTTTTCAGACAACCTTGTCTCCTGAAAAAGTGTGGAAAAACATTTCCAGAGCAAACTGCTTTTTGTCTTGAGAACATTTCACTATATCAAGTGCTTCACCACGGCAAGGTTCAGTGACTGTCACAGATATTTACAGCCTGCGAACGGGGAAACCATCACAGAGGTAAGGTGGGAAAAAGCACAGATACATAAATTTAGCCAACACGCATCTGACCGAATACAGGTGCAGCTGCGGAGCACACTCCTTGGAAATAAAAAAAAATATATATTAAAAAAAGGAAGAAATACGAGTAGCATTAATCTCTCATGATGAATGTGGTGACATCACCTTTCTAACACAATTACTTTTTATTTCTCTTTAAGAGACTTTGGCTTGGCTGCCGATAGGAAAAATGAGATTTTTATGAAGAAGACTGTGAAGAATACTGTGATTAATCTTGAGGCAAATCTCAGACTTTTCTGAAGTTTCTATTAAGCAGGATGCTAATTTTATCATTTCCACTCTTTTCCACATTTTCCTTTAGGATATATTCAGAAATTCTGAGTGTTAAACCAATCCTTTGATTTTTCCAGCTAAAGGGAGCAACCTGAACAGCCCATGATGGATTGACTTCTATTAGATTCTTCAGGCATCACCATCAGTGTGAACTCCATTTAAGTAACACCGTCAGAGACTTAATTTATTATATAATTGATAAGAAATATCACCTAGGAAGCCTAGACAATGAAAGCGACTTCTACAGGAAATATTTTGCTAAGAGACAGCGACATGGGAATGCACCGGAGGCAGAAAATTGAGTTATGAAATAAATAGGTAAAAAAATAATTCTTCGCATATAACAAACTCCTATTTATTTATTGCTGTATGGAATTTGGGAGGGCCTGGCATTGCTTATTTGTAGGTGAAAATAAAACAGGAGAAGGGGAGTTAAGCAGAAGGGGCTGGAGATGGAGATTAAAAAGGGAGGTGGAAGTCAAAAAGGGGAGAGAAAATTGCCAGGAGGAGCAGGGGAAATTAAGAGGTGAAGAAACAGGTGGGAAGGCAGAGAGTGTCTGGGGAAAAAGGGGGAGGAGTGAGAAGGAGGCAAGGGCAATCCTGAGCTCTGGGGGTATCCTGCTGCAGGAGAGGCTGGGAAATAGCTCCTGCTGGGCTCTTAGAGGTGAATCGCCTGCCAGGGAGCAGACCAAGAGCTGTCAGGGATGCCTTGGTGCCACCACAAACTGGTTCTGTTGCAGTCGAGGGTCGTTTGCATTTCTCTCCTATGCATATTTTTAAGAGTTTGTGATCACCTAATAAATCCTGCTGTCTGACAGCACTTCTGCTGAGTGTGCACGATGGTTCCTCGCTTCTGTCCATGCTTTGTAAAGGGAACCAACGTGGTGCTAGACAAATTTCTGTCTCATGGGTGCTGCATCCAGGGAGGGCGTTGGCTTGCCAGCTGCCTCTTTGGAATTTATCCTTTGCCATAATGCCTCAGAATCGACACTTGGATAACAGAAATTAAGGCAAAATGCCTGAAATGGGGAAAAGAAAGGGGGAAAAAAAATCATCAAACACTTGACAAGTTGCCAGGGCAAGGTCAGGAAGATGATAGTCTAAGCTAGGAAAGAGCCAGCACCTATGGGGAAGGACACTGAAGGGTGAGAAGTGGGTAGGAGTAGGGGTGCTGAAACATCTCATGATTAACTCTTTAACTATAAAGGAAATAACATTTCAAGTTTCCTCCACGTTTTTCTACCCCATATTTATTTTTCATGCTTCTTTAAAACAAAGACCTTTCTCTAGTTTCAAGGCTGGTTTCAAAAAGTAGCTTTTTCTCTCCACATATCTTTGCTCTGCTCTGTATCTAAGGCTATAAAACATGGCAGATAGCAATGTTTCTAATTAAGTTTTTGAAGCCCTATGCCAAACCCCTGTCTCAGGGCTGAGAGGATACAAATCACTTGATGATTACTTCCAACAATGGTCAACCAATGGGTTTGAAAAATACAGATCAAAAGGTTGATTCTCAAATATTTATTATAATAAGCTGAACAAGCAGCAGGCTGTAATTCATATGGCAGAATGAAATCCTTGCTAAATCATCACATCATAAAGAAAATTGCTTTTTTAATTTAATATTTCTCTTTCAGCTGTTTCTATAGAGACATGCTAATTTAGGAGCTTAATTTATTATCTGGAAGAATATTAAGCTAGATACAAGTTTTCCCCAAATCACTTTCAAGTGAAACCAAAGGCTCACGTAAGCGAGGCATGTGAGCAAAAGTGCAAATTGCCTCCATCATTATTATATAATGGGAAATCATGTAATGGCTCATCATTCCTCTGGCAGCAAAGGAGTGGATAATGATGCTCTTTGCTACTAGCTTGGTCACTGGCATACTGTAAACTCAGCAGTGGTACAGCAGCAGCCCTTTTCCTGAGAGCTGGAGCATGGCAGTGGCAGAAAACCATTTCTTGGCTGGGGAGGCGTTGGTTCTCTCTAAGAGCTGACCCAGCACAGGCTGAAAAACAACAACAAAACCTAGCTGCTTTGCTTCAAATCTGTCACTGGAGCCTCGTTAGCTTTTCAACACCCAGAGAAAGCCCTTGGTATGTGTTTTCTTTATAACCCATCCAGCATGATGGGCTCAGGTCCACAAAGAGTATTGCAAGGGGAAACTTACCCTGACCCTCTTCATCTCGTGTCTGTGCCCCCCAGCTGTGGGGCAGCTCATGGGGTGAAGGCCAGGTGCTCTCACCGGTGTTCCCCAGGTGAACATCAAATGCTGCCTATTTCATAAAGTGTGTGAATGAAGGGATGATGGTTCAGTTCAAAATAGGCACGTCTCTAGCTTAAGAAACTACCGGTTTCTTAAGAAACTACGGTTGCTGTCTTTGTTGAATCACAGAGATAAATAATTGCTTTGTGTACTCCAAGTGTGGTTGGTGCAGCGCATAAACTATGTAACAGACTCCACAGGAATAAAAAAAAAAGAAGAGAGAGAAAAAAAAAAGAGGATGCTTTGCTGGTCTAGCACAGTAAGTAAACCGTGAAAGATTACCAATACTAACAAAAAATAATCCATAGCTTGCATCTACAATGTGTTGTTTATGATTTAATAATGTTGATCATAAAAAAGACTTTTGGTTCCTTTATGGTATTGGAAGTTTTCTTGCCTGCTAAGGGAAAGGCAGTAGGTCAGGAGATGCAGTGGAGGTACCGGTGTGTTCGGGAAGTTACCCGTGCATCTCATCACCTGCGGCTGTACCCGTCCCTTCCGTGTCCCATTTGCTGCATTCTCCATGATGTGGGGGAACAGAGCAGCCTCCTGCCCTTCCTGCAACCCGCTGCACTTTGCACACCTTGCTGCTGCGGAGCAGTTTCATGTTGCACAGCACATAGCAGTGATGTCCCACCGCTGCCTGGCTCTGGCAGTAGATGCCTCGTGCCCTTGCTCACTCTGACCCAGGAGCCCAGCCCCACGAGAAGGCTGGCCTTACACTGAGCAACAAAATGCCTTTAAAGCTTTTTAAAATTTCCTATTCTTTTTTCTTTATAATGCAGCCAAGTACCCTGATTGTTATATAGAAAACGCTGTTCTTCTGCTAATTAGAGGCATTTCCACAGCACTAAGGTTTAAAGATGAACCTTGAGATCATTATCTCATTATTTTACCTCAACCAGTTGTTCCTTGCTGCTCACAATTGATTTCCCTTTATAATAAAACATTTTGTTTAATTTCCCAGAGATTGATTCACAGCTCACTGAAAGCTAGAGAAATTTTTCCACCGAGCTCCATGCTCCTTGGGCAGGTGATCTCAGGGCACCAGCGGTCCTTTGTAGAACAAATTAGAAGCTTTAACAGGACAAAGATTTTGCTCCCAAGACGAATGGGTACGGGCCAGGAGCAGCTTGTAAAATCGTTTTCCCACATGCAATTTTGAAACTTATTTTATGGATTTTGTCATAAAAGGCAAAGTAAGAGGGAAGAGAAAGGAGTCACAGGTACAGCTGGCTGGGAAGTATTCCAGGGAGGAAAATTTCCCTCCAAATTGTACTTTAATTTGACCAAGGTTTAAGAATTGAAGTTTCTAATTCCAAGCTGGGAAACGAGTATTTTGAGCTTGTAGAGAGAGCCTTATGGGGATTTGTCATTTTTCTGTGGGTAAGTGAATTTGTAGGACCTGGTTTCATTACATGCAGTGTGAAACAATGACAAGGAGCACCACAAGTGGTTTCAGGCTCCCAAACTTTCCTTGTATATTCTTCCTGAAGATCCAGTACTGGTAAATGTTTTGATTTCCTACAAATTGACTTTTCCAGCAGGTCCCTGTGCTGACCAAGCTCTGGTCAGCGTGGTGGTGCAGGCAGGGGAGCGCTGAAGATGCGGTGGCAATGGGCTGTGGGCAGTGTTTGGCCCCTGCACGCTGCGTGCCCCAAGGTGAGGCACAAGCACAGCAGCAGCAGGGGCTGATTTCTTGCCATATCCCATCTTTTCTGGGAAGGAATGAAGGTTTTACTTTTTTTCTCGGGGGTTTTTATGTTCCCAGCCTGTGAGCTTGTAGGGTATCCCTTTTTTCCTGCCCTGCAGTGATGCTGTCCTCTGTGTGCATTTGCCTGCTAGCTAGCTGGGCTTCTTTTTTTATGTACTTATTTATTTTTTACTGCTGCAGCTTATCTGGTGTAGTGCTCAGAACAATTTTTATATGCAGGCATTACTTTGGTATTTGTCAAACTGTTGGTATTAGTTTCACCAGCCTACAAGTACAGCTGTCCAGAATAGTGGCCTAAAACCCAAATAGGACAGGGGCCCTTCGTATGAGGAAAGCATTTTGCAAACACTACAATAAAAGATTGTGTGAGTCCAGTAAGTGGCTTTCAGCAGGGAGAAAGCAGTATTGGCAGTCTGTTTCTTAAAGCTCAGCTCGAGGCAGTAAATTTATTGCTAATGGTTTTGCCTTCCTTTTCTGTCATGGTCTTTGGATGTTCTTAATTTAAAGAATTATGTTATTTTCATGCAATAGATCGATAAAAGAGAAGAACTTTCATGGCTGCTTCTGGCTCGGAGAAGGAGCAGTGGCCACGGGCTGGGGATACGCCGTTCATTCAAGCCCTGCAGAAAGGGAGTCCTCCTGCCACTTCTCTAGGGCTCGGGAAGGTGAATTTTTGCAATATTTCTCTGAAAGTTGAGAATTAGTCACTGCTGTTCAAACTGAACCCCATACCTGGGCAGCTGGAGCTGCTCACCGACGGAGCTGCTGCCGAGGGGCACCGGCAGAGCGCTGGGAGGCTGCAGTAGATGCTCAGAGCCATTCACCTGGCTGTTACTGAGCAGAACCCTTTTAGTACTTCCACCTCCTTTGAAGAATTTGATGTGATTTGATACTGGCATGTGTAACCACAAAATTAAGGACTTTTCAGTGAATTATGATGAGTGGCTCTCGGTCTATCTGAAAAGAGTGGCTGGACAGTGCACCCTAGCACCACCTCAGGAGTTAGCACAGGAGTCTGCTGGCACTGCAACACATCAGGGTTATTACACACCAGATATTAGCTGTCCGATTCCTGATGAGCAGGTGCCCACCTGCATACCCAATGCCTGTTCTCCTTGCTGGTAAACCCAACTGCTCGGTGCTGAGCTGGTGTCTCAGTGAAGCTGCCCCTGCAAGGCAGCTGCTCCAAAAGCAACGGCGTGCAAAGTGAGCGAATGTTCCTCATGCCACTAAATGACCTCCAGGAGCAAGACAAAATATTTTATCTGTAAGTCTGTTTTCCTAGAGTGATGTAGGCTGAATGACCTTTCTCCTACTCCGGTCTGTAAACAGTGACA